CACTGATTTCTAGTCGTGTCCTCTTTTGGAAGGCCAAACAAAGTAGTTTCGCTTTCACAACGAAACACACGACGGCGTAGCGTAAGCGGAGGCCGCGGGCTAGAGTGAGCTGAGGCGGGCGGGCTTGAGTGGATTCGACAAAGGAGCGGCAACCACATGTGACAACGACTGGACTCTGCTTCGTCCACGGTGAAAGCCGATCCGGCGATCCACAGCGCTAAGTCGATGTATTACCTCAGCGACCAGCACCGATCAGCTCCAGGCATGACAAAGCGGATATCGTCCTCTTTTGGAAGGCCAAACAAAGTACAAGAGCTTGTAACACTCCAAAGAGAAAGGACAAATTGAAATCGCATTATATGACCCCTTTAAACATCTCCACAAACAGTATCACCAGCTTCACTCATTAGATTGACTTTATTTCTGTCATCTAGAGAAGCTCTTATTGAGAATTAACAGAGGTTTAGATGTTGGTATTTGTTTAATTTGAAGTCACCATTGTCGTGGACAGTGTTTGCTTTAGTTGGGATCTTGGTCCTTATACTTAGTGTGCTAACTTTTCTTTGGCTGCTATAATTGTGTTTTTGTAAAGCACAATAGTTATTGCAAAAGAGGCCAACATAAAGTGAAATCAGCATCTGATGAGCATCTGCTGTTGTGGATTTCAACTTTGTTTTATATTTGGTATTTATAGCCAAGACACCTTGTGAAGTTGCAGTACTGGCACCAAGAGCAACATAATCACTTATTCTGAAGATGGACAAAATGCATGAGCTATTTTAAGTAAATTCTTCATATAGTCACGCACAGACATCAAGATTTTGCACATGAATCACAACAACGGTGACAATCAAAACAAAAAAGCTTGGGATTTAAGGATGAGTTTGTACTATGAAGTCACCCATCATGCATTGCAGCATGAAGCTTTTTTTGCTTTGTCACTGCTGCGGTCATTCATGTGCAAAATCTTGATGTCTGCATGTAACTACATCATGGGTTTATTATAGCCCACGCACATGCATTTTATCCATCTATAGAATAACTGATCATTTCAATACTCTTGGTGCCAGTACTGCAACTGCAAGAAAACAGCTGTTCACTGCATCACAACACCTCAAGCATTGCTATTAAGAAAGATCTAACACAGAAGTCAAGGGTCAAGAGCTCAACTAAAGCAAACACTGATCTCCGTGATGGTGACATCATTTTAACCAATAAAACATCAACATCTGATCCTCTGTAATTCTCAATAACAGCAGGTGTTCATCACTAATGCACAATCATCATTTAATTAGTCACTTAATTATCTCATTAACTTTAACTCTTTGAGGACTTGGGATATGACTTGAAGACTTGCTTGTGACTTGAAAGTCCCAACTCTTGTCAAATACAGTCAGCTTTGCTTATAGTTTAAGGCACGGTTTTGGGACATTCTAAAACACTTAATGTGGCTTAATGTAGGCTACTATAACAGTGACACTGGAGGCCCAATTCGGTATTAGGCCTAATAAATATTATTAATACTAATAACAATTGTAATATTAATGACCTCATTAATAGCATTACTATCAGTAAAGCAGATAGCCATAATGCAACGTTTCTCCCCCATTTAAAACCATTAGGCTATAGAAAACGCTTAAGGGAGGCTAATGGACTAAGACGGTATAGGCTAAAACCAAAATATGGTACACAGTTTATTAATAAAATATAGCATATTATGCACAGGAAAGCAGACAAGCTCAGAATAGCTATAAAGCAGCCAAAACATCATTTAAAGCGAAACTGAAAGTATGGGCTCACGTACCGCTCTCATTCAGCACAAATCCAAATGTTTCCATATTCGCAATGTATTTGAAGCTAAACCATTATTTATTAAATTAAATTAACTGGGCTTTGTACGTTCCAATATCGAAGGGAAAAAAATCATAATGAACAAAAATGTGCCGCACTGGAGTGGACCGGGGCTCACGCTGTACGGCACAGACTATAATACAGATTATTTTTTATTTTATATATATATATATATATATATATATATATATATATATATATTAATCACATCCGAAATAAAAAAAATTATTTACATAATATGTGTACTGTGTTTATTTATTATGTATATATAAATACACACACACACACAGTATATATTTTGAAAATATTTACATGTATATACATTTATATATTTTATATTGTATATACATATATTTAATATATAAACATAACATATTTTTCTTAAATATATACATGCATGTGCTTGTATTTATATATACATAATAAATATACATAGTACACACTCATTTAGTATGTAAACAAAAACTTTTATTTTTATTTTGGATGTGATTAATCGCGATGAATTGTTTGACACCACTAATATATATATAGCCTATATATCAATTTATATACATATATATTATATTGCATATATTAATTTTACAGGCAATGTCAGGTATCTGATATATTTGGTATCTGAGTGGTGACCGAGGGTCTGTACCATGTCATGAATCCAGTAACAGGCTAAATTAGAAATAAAATATATAGTAAATTTATAATTGTGGCAAAGATTTACAGTAAAACGCAAAGTCTCAAATTCACAGGTTCATAAAATGTAATGTACATCACGATTACATAATTGATACAGTGCAATCGTACAATCATTGAACTTTGTTAACATTCTGTGCAGCATCTGTTACAGCTATTTGCAAGCTTTTATAATCCATATAATTTTTTTGCGAATTTTAGGAAAATTCAAACCATAAACAAGAGGGTCCAGGATGGGTGGTACAATGAGAAACTCTAATGAAAGAATGATTGACAGCCCTATAGGGAGTTCCAAATTTGTAACCTGACTCAAAGTGACCTCACAAAAAATAGCTACTGAGAAATTTAAGTGGAATACAAATTTGATATGCTTTTCTCCTGAAATCTAGTGAGCTTTTTCTACAAATGATAAGGATAAGAGTATAATATAAAACTTAAAGGCATGATAACAGTTGTGGTCAATATAAAAAAGCCAAAAACATTATTAACAATAGTGTTTGCACAAGAAAGCTTGACAATTTCCCAGTTGTGACAGTACACCTTCCACAGTTTGTTACCACACATCATGAGACTGGCATTTAATATACCAGCAATAGCAATACAAAGCATCGGATAAATCCAGCTTATAGCTATTAAAACAGATAAAATCCTGGGGGTCATTATGTTGTTGTATTGCAACGAAGCCTGGGAACTAAGCAACCAGGTCTGAGTGATCTCACACCAACACAGAGCCTGCGTACTTGCTCTCCCCACTGCGCTTCGATCCATGTCTCACACAAAAGGATTAGTGCCCCTCTTTACATCGAGCGGCTTTATCCTACAAAGTAGATCGGAGCAGACGCTGCCGCTGACAGCTTCAAATTTGTGGTTGTGTCACTCCCCCGTTAGTTCGCGGAAGGCGGCACCGCCTCCCCGTGCTCATGTTTCTCTCCTCCCAGCTACCTCGGAGGAAGCAACGACGAACTCGCGGGTTGAACGACCAGACTTGAGCAATCCTCTACACACCTCATTATACGAGCAGCTTAATCCTCCCAGGCAGATCAAAGCGCAAACGCGGGCAGCTTCGCATTTGTGTGTGAGTCGCTAAGCCCCGCATCCCCCGCTCTGGTGTTTCTCTCCTCCCAGTTACTCTGAGGCAGAAATGGCAAACTCGCGGGTATGATCGATCAGGCTTGAGTGATTAACATATACGGTCCTTCCCTTCGGGCTGTCCCTTGCCCCCCGCACTTTTACGAAGTGCATGTATGTGGCTCTCTCCCCTCTAAGACAGATGGGAATCCGTATTATCAATTACCTCGACGACTGGCTCGTTCTGGCCCAATCGTAGGCAGAATTAATATCTCACAGAACCCTCCTTCTCAGCGACCTGGAGTACCTGGGACTCAGAGTCAATTTTTCCAAGAGCTCGTTGCTTCCCAGCCAGCGAATTTCGTTCCTGGGAACAATTTTCAACTCAGCCCAAATGAAAGCTGTAGTCATGCCGGAACGAGCTCTGGCCATACGGAGGCTGGCGACCTCCTTCAAGATCGGTACCGCTCGCCCTCTCAAAGCATTTCAAAGGATGCTGGAGTGCTACAGTTGGGTCTGCTGCATACGCGCCGCGCCCCCTTCAGCGCTGGTTGAAACCACGGGTTCCATCCCATGCGTAGCATCACGGACGCCTGCATATCAGGGTGAGTCAGGTCTGTGTATCGGCCCTGACCCCCTGGAAG